AAAAAGGCAAGCTTTAAAATGGGGCTGCATTTGAATGTTCCTAAATACCAGCTTCTGACTGTTAAAAGTAGTTGAATAGAATATATTTGTCCTAATCTGTAAAAGAGTACTTCAAAAATAGAAGTTAATTGTCTCTAGGGGACCATATAGAATTTGTGCATTGTTAGGGCTTGAGTGGGCTTTCATGGAATTTTCTGATTCATGGGAATCATGAACTGTTGCTGCAGTAACAGCGCAAACATTTTACTTCAGAAGAAACTGAGTTCTATGCCTGCTGGACTTCAGTTCTTCAATGATGACTCCTATATCCTAGCTATAGGAAAGGAATACTACAGTTATCCTACAGGTTGATTGTAACTGCTGCCAAGCTACAAATATGTGATTCTCATATACTTCATTGGTACTTGAACAGTCTGCATCTCACAATATCTTGTGCCTCACTCAGGAATTTTTTTTGTTTTTATATGAGTATGTGATACAGTTGCTAACAGAAAATATTACAGGTATAAATTTACTTGGCAAGCAAGGGAGATGCTCTTGGAAGGTTGGTCTCTTTGAATTTGACACATTCTGCATCAGTAACTCTGTCTTCTGGGTGTTATGTATTTTAATTTAGTCAATCTGGACAAGTTCATGTAGGTTGACCAGGAGCACAAATCATGAAGTCTGGAATTCTGGATAACTGTATTATTTTTCTGATGCCTGTTTCAGGAACTATCAGTAAGAGACCAGTACTGGTGATAGGTCTTCCTTTGAGTCCTTGGACACCATCTAAAGAATGTGTTTATTGCCTGTTATGTAAAATATACTGTTCATAAAAGCAAGGCTACTTTCATATATAAATTTTTGCTGTTTTGGTTTTACTCTATGTATTCATTTCTTGCACTTCTTACTTCCTTCTTCCTAAGTAACTGTGGAAAGTAGATTTTTCCTGGTTGATCAGACCACTTATTTTCTGTCAATAGTGAGAAAGTGAGATCGTGAAAAAGGCTGCTTGAAAGTTACTGTGAAAGTATCACGTGTAGTTCAGTTCCATCTCAGCTATTATCTTACATAGCTGTAATTTGATAAGAACTTTCCTAATGAATTAGTCAGAGAACTAAATAGTCAGATATGATTCAGGTTAGTAGAATCCAGGCAACTTCTGCTTTCTATTTGGGGAATATCAGTGTCCGCAGTAATATGAATCAGCTGTGTGGGCTTTGTGACACACATCTGAGAAACTATTTAGTGGTCAAGTCCTCCAGACCTGAAGCCTGTATTTATGTGCCTGTTGTTCATCATATCATCATCTCTAAGCAGAAAGGAAATCCCTTGTTAGTCACCAGCAGTGGACATCATGTGGAAAGCCACTTAAAGGTGAAACAACATTACCTGCTTCAGAAAAACTGTAGTTCTTTGAAATTACTTCCAAAACATTACATGTGTTTTTATGTACTTAACTGCAGAGTGCTCCTTCTTTGACATCTTGTACCAATGGCAAAACTGTGGGAGAGTTTAGCTTACTCTATTCTATATGTTTCAGTAATGGAAAGTCACAGGAGAGCAGGAGGTATCCCAAGTCTACAAGATGCTGCTGGTCAGCCTAATCTAAAACTACGTGTGACATATCTGTTTAGCAGGAGTGTATTCCTGAAGCTGAGCTGAAGATTCACAGTTAGTGCAGAGTAGGAAACAGGCCCCTTTCTTTATATTGCTGTATATAATATTTTCTAACTTTTGTTTGACCTTTTTATGGGTTTAGTTTAGGTATATAATGTTACGAACTGTAGTTTCTCTTATTGAAGTTCTTCAATTTACCTGTTGGTCACTGTACCTGTATAATGTCTTGAATGGCTTTTGCTTGGGACATGTTTTGCATGCAAAATGGAAGTGTCTTTACAGAATTTGCAGCATGTTTTACAATACAATAGATGTGTGAAGTAATCTTCTATGAATTAATTCATGAACTATCTTATTATTTAGCGTTCTTCATATTCCACACTTTGATATACTGTGGTAGCTCAGTGAAATTCTCTGACTAAAGTTTAATGCTGCTTGTTACTCAGTCTTTTTAATTACTTCTAACAACAACATTAATCTGTCTATATACATGGTCTACACTTGTCTGTGTGTTGTACACTCACACTTAGTTTAGTTAGTTTGTTTCTTTTTTATCTATCTATCTATCTGATTCCTTTTTGACTTCACTCTGCAGCTCATGATTGCACATTGATAAACCTGTACCAGATCTAGAATTTAGCAATAATGATTAGTAGCGCACAAATTTCCTGAAATTTATATTTTGTTATTCAAAGTGTGGCAAAAATGTGGAATGTTAAAGAATAAAACCACTAGGCATCTTGGCAAAGCTTTAACTATTTTTTTTTTATCACTCATAGCAAATGAGCGTTGTCACGTAGAATAATTTTGGAGGTTGACTTGTCTATTTACGTAATTTATTGTTCCTAAAATTTGAGTGCATCAACTCAGTTAAGTCTACAGGGCATTATTTGTCAAACATGATCTCTGTTTTTGTTATGGGCTCAACAGTTTTGGCAGTTGTGTATTAAAGTTAGTAAAATACCTCTTGTGCTACAAAATATTAATATTCCAAGAAGCTTTGCCCTTGGTTACAAGTTCTAGTAGCCTAGAAACTCAGTTTACAGTCTTGAGCAATTGATAACTTATTTCTGTGTTACTTTTTTTTGATGCTTCACAGGAACATATTAAAAGGATTCATTTCTCCAATCCATTTGAGAGACATGCACCAAGCTATTACAAAGAATTTGTATTTTGCCTTTCATTCATTGTCAACTTCCACGTCAGATGATCCTTTAAAATTCACTTCTTGGGAAGTGATGATTCTAACATACTTTATCAAACTGCTTTTTCTCTCCTTGAATTATTAATTTTTATTATTTCCTTATAGGAATGCCGGCTGTAATTCTTGAAACGAAGCCGGTTTATAATACTCATTTCCTAAGTTTCATTTCCACCTGTAATAGTCTACTTGAATTGCACCATAGCTAATTCTGGAACTTGCTTATCTTAGGGAAAGTATTCTGCCTTGGAGTACTGCAAAGTCATGCAGATAGTGCTCAAGATACTGTTTGCCAGTTTCTGATAACTGGAACATTCATACGGGCAGTAACTGCTGGAAGCTGCAGTTAACAATGACTCAGGCAAATTATTTTCCATTTACCTATGGCAAAGGCCTGTTCCTCTAAGAGAAGGACTAGGTGTGTCAGCTAGCAAGATTGCAGGGCTGTTTGGCAAATTAGTTGTGTTGATGGGGTTAACTAGTTTCTGTCAGCAACCTGGCCCTGCTGGAAATGAGAGTGGCCTTTCCATATCACTAAGAAGAAGTGAATAGAGAAAGAGCAGGTTTTACTTCTATTCCTCTGTCTCTTATACCTTCTGGCCTGATGGCAAGTATAATGGATACCTTGAGCTCTTTTAAGTCACTGGAAGAGCTTGGTGTTGCAAACAGTCACTAATCTCTTTTGACACTGAAATTGATTCAGATAATCACTATTAATCACGATCTAAACCAGCAACCAAGGGACTTTGGTTTAAAGCATCTGTTACGATATTGAAAAGCTTTGCTGTGTTTTTCTTCTTTTCTTAAAGACAATTGGATATTTCATTAGTTTTTAATCATAAAAGTGTGTAAATTTACAGCTAAAATAGCCTTCATTTAATTGTATATTCTGTATACTGGAGGTTTGTATACTAATTGACGTGCTCATATACACTAACATTTAATTGGAATTTTTTTTAAATTAAATTATCTGAAGTATCTCTGTCACAAAGGAGAAAGGTAAGCTAGGTGGCAAAATTTCTAAAATTAAGAACAAGCTAGTTCACTATTAAAAGGAAATATTATTTGTAATTAATACATCAAATTAATCACTTTGGTTGTATTATCCTTTTAGATTTTAAAAGGAATTAAGTCTCTCACACTTCATTTTCATTTATATTTTGACAGAAGTTTTTTTCTCTTTCAGTTTCCAACTGAATGAACTGGTCTTTGAATTCAAGTAATTGAAACATTAAAACAAAGAAAATATTGTTTTAACATCTGCAGAAAAAGCTACTGCTGTCAGGAGCTGGCTTAACATTTTCACAAGCTGCACACCCAAGTGTCCAGCTGATTAATTGCTTTTGACTATCTTTGAAACTTTAATAGCAACAATGTACTACTGAAATATTGTTTGATTATAGTTTAAAATTGATAGCTTGTGGTAAATGTTATATTAAATATAATTAAAGCTGTAATATCCAGTTTTATTTCTCAAGTGAAAATGCATTTTTTATCAAACTTTGAGTTGGTGGTGAAGAAGGATGAAGAGAACTTAAACTTGCAGAAGGTGAAGGGCAGTACTTTAGGCTTAATGTTTGAATGACTGTTCTGTGTCAGAACACTGATGATGAATTACGTACAAACCGTGCCATGGTTGCACAGGCCTCTGGAGCCTCTCGTGTGTACTGACAGTACGTGCATCTGTTTGTCAGACTGAAGACTTTCCCACCTCCATTGAGCTGTTAGCTGCTGCTTTACAGGAGGAAAGGGGCAAGAGTGGTGGCCACTGTTGCCAGTGGTGGTCTGGGAGTGTTAAGGCACAGAGAGCTTCCAGCTGTGCCAGCATCGCAGGTGACCGTGATGAGACACCTGCCTTCCAACTGGGACTGTTTATCTAAGTGCTTTTTCCAAGTACCCCTGTTTTTTGTTTGTCTAGCTCTGCTATCTGCGTTCTTGAAGTTTACTTTCGGATTTTTGTAAAAAAGTGAGCCAAAGCCAGAGAAAAAGGCTTGCAAACCTATTCAGACACAGAGTGATGGGCAGGGTAATTTTATTTTTTTTTCCAAAGTGTTGCTGATCAATCAATTTTTCGTCACAGTTGGTTTGATGACAATCTTTTCCCATACTATGACTGTACATTGAATGAAATGTAATGAAATGGTGTTTCAGAGATCTTCTTTGTGAGGCTGGTTTTAACTGATGCTTTCTTTTTCAGCCAATCTGCCTGTACCTACTATTGCTGCAATAGATGGAACAGCCTTAGGTGGTGGCCTAGAACTTGCATTAGCCTGTGATATACGGGTGGCAGGTAGGTCTGAATCCTGTTTTTAGAATATAGAATTATTAGTGTTACAGATGGCTTGACTAATCCATCTGTTGACAACAGTCTTATAAAACTTACTTTGCTTTTGACATTGTTTATAACCCATTGTTTTAAAGGACTTAAGCAGAAACCTGTCTAAGTACTTGCTAATGTTTAATTTCAAACATCACTGATAGTTGGATTGGTTTTATTACATGTTTATTTTATTCTTATGACCCTCATTTTATCAGTATTGCCAGAAGGGTTATGTAATTATTTTCATATTTTATTTATTTTTATGAATTTGAAGTGCTCTAGATGGAGATTTCATTTTTATCTAAACAGGGTGCAGGCAAAAAGCAAAAGTTGCTAGTGAGAGTATCATTACACAAGAAATTAAGTTACAAAAGTGACAGCAACACTTGAAAAGGGCACCGTTAGCTAATAAGCTGTCAGAACTGTAAAGCCAATTGATGGAAAGTAAATGGAAACTTTGTCCTGAACTGTTGCCAGAAATTCAGGGTCTATTTGACCTTACAGAATATTCTGTCACCTCAAGAATTCAAATAATCTGATAAGAATTCTACCCCATTTTAAGATGTTAAGTAATAGCAACCTCTTTCTTTTAGTATTTTACATTTGGAAGCAAGTCCCTGTAGTTGCTTACTTGCTATATGAAAACTAATAAGGTACAGAACTTGCCTTGATGGAAATAGTTGGATCTTTTACTAATGGCAGATCAGTTGAATCTATTTGAAGATTTTTATAAACAAATGCTTTTTATAGTGATTTATTGTTCTTTTTCAAGGAAATGTAATAAATTAACAAACTTATAGGTCATATACAATATTACGTATTTTCCATAGATTTTTGTCTCCTATGGTTATGGTAAGAACTCCTTCACATTCTGTTTTTTAGCCTCTTCTGCTAAAATGGGCCTAGTTGAAACGAAGTTGGCAATCATTCCAGGTGCAGGTATGAGTGTTTTGCTTTTACTGCCGTGGATAACTAAATAACACATGATCTTAGTATTTTGAATTGCTGTTTATGAGTTGTTGCTTATTTTTATATTTCTATTAAGGATCATAGCGTGTGTTCCAGCTTAGTGCTGGTATTATTTAAAAAAAATAATTAAAAGGTGTATTTCTTGGTTTCAGGGAAGAGCACTTGCATATTATGTTTTTAAACAAAGTCTTCAGTAACTAAGTCAATATTGAGTGATTCTGTAAATGACAGGTGATTCTGTAAATTCTGTAAAAGGTCAGGTGAGAAAAAACCTGTCAGTGTACGAAAGCAGTGATTTAAATAATGATCCACTTTTACATAACATTTGGTACTTTAGGATTCGAATTCTATTTTCATGCTGATTTTAAATTGATTGTAAAGAAATGAAAGTATAGCTGTGAATAATGTGATAGTATAGCTGTGAATTTTTTGAGATTTTTGGAGTCAAAGACCTCTTCTATATTTGGAAGGCCAGTTGACTGGCTTTTCCTGGACTCAGGGTAAATGCAAGTTGTGTAATGAATGACATTCAGAGAGGTCTGTGTGTTACAAAACCTTTTGGTTTTATTTTGTGTATAAATCGTTTTACTTGAATTAAGATATTTGCTGGTCTGGGAAAAGGACAATAATTTAGAAAAAAGTGCATTCCTTTGACTTTTGGCCTTAATTTCTGGAAGCTCTAGGGAACTCTGTTTTGTTTCTTTACTCCTGTTTTCTTTCTAATGGGTCGAACCTATTCTGAAAGCAGTATATCCAATTCTAACAGATACCATTGCAGATTGTGTGGAAAGAACTGCAAAAACACCCCCCTAATGGGAGCACTGGTATGAACTTTGTGTATAAAACTATCCCATCCTCTGACTAGTCTGGACAATTATTGTACAATTTCAGATGCTCTATTATTATGGTTATTGTTGAGATGTGATTTCAGTCAATACCTTCTGTGTTCTGAGCTACATTATACATAAAGAAAACAGAGTTGTGCTTGAGGACTGGTCTCTTTTTAGCAGTGGATAAAGATAATAATGCAGATGATTTTAAAGATATATTTCCTTGTAGTGGTGTTGTCTTGAAGTAACATGCCTTGACAAGAAGTCCCAGTGAAGAAAAAAACAGGAGTTTATGTTGCTTATCTTTGTTGAAAATTTTTCCTCTTTGTCCTTCCACTTCATCTTCTAAGAACAGCAGGACAGTATTGGAGACATTTGCTCCAATTCAAGAAAGTCAGGTCAAATTTCTCAGTATATGGAGAAAAACTTGAAAACTATTCCACTTTTGTAGGTTGTCTTGTTTCCCTGTCGTCAGTTAATTATAGATGTTTCAAACTTCTATGCTCTTACCTTAAAATGCTAGGTAACTGACTCACTGTTAGTTTCATTCAGAATATTTTACTGCTATTCAGAGACTGAGATTTGAAAAATCTTTCTTTCTTTTTTTTTTTTTTTTCTCATCCTAAAATAGTGATTCTGGCATATGTCTTCAGCTCCTTGAAAATATGACAGATTTCGCCATGTTACATTGCCTTTTAAACTTAAAACATCTTGGGGTATGTTCAAAGATGAATTTTTTCCATATTCATATCAGCCTTTCTTACGACTATTTTTGCCGACTACATTTGAGCTTATCACAACCTTTTCCTGTTCAGCCTGTACTTGCACCAGTCCTGTTCTGTTGAGCAATCACAGTGGTTCATCCCCTTTAAATCTCGTCATCTGAAGAGTAACTGATCATACTTTTTGTCACCAGAAGGTGAAGACTGAGTGAAGGAATATTTTGCATATCTCATTTAGGTAGAGAAGCCAGATGTGCACACTTGAACCACAGGTTTCATGGGCTAATGGAATGTTTTCTTACAGTGAATGTTTTCTTACATGTTTACTTCAGGCTGCTCTGAGCCAAAACAACTGGGAAGTGGAGCTGAGAAGTGAGCTGGAGCCATTAAGAGGCCTCCATAGGTTTCTGCTGCCATGTAGCACACCTGAAACCTTCTGACAAACTGTGTTGCTTCTTTGAACTGGGTCCCTATGCTATAGCAAACTACTGGGTTTATTCTGTTCTGTGAGCTGCCAGGAGTATGTGATAGATGTAAAAATTTTAACTTGGGTGATAATTAATGTGGGTATTTGAGGCTATATGCAAAACTTATTTATTTGGGGGAGGTCTGCTTTTTAAAGCCCTACAAAGATACAATTGAAAAGCTGTGTTAGAAGAATGTTACTAGAATAGTATTAAAATATAGATTCAGGACATATCAGCTGGACATATTTTGGACCTTGTTGTACGTTATCTTTTATTCCATCCAATTTTGAAATGTGGTCATCAAAAGACTGAGTGAGGTGCTGTCTAGTGACCAACCAGTTTTAACACAAATGACTTCACCTTGAATATTGTGTGCAGTTTTGGTCACCACAATATAGGAATGTTATTAGGCTATTACAGAGTGTCCAAAGGAGGGCAACAAAAATGGTGAAGGGCCTTGAGGGGAAGGTGTGTGAGGAGCGGCTGAGGGCTCTTGGTCTGTTCAGCTGAGACTGAGGGGAGAGCTCATTGCAGTTACAACTTCCTTGGGAGGGGAAGAGGAGGGGCAGGCACTGATCTCTGCTCTGTGGTGACCAGAGACAGGGCCTGAGGGAATGGTCTGAAGTTGTGTCAGGGGAGGTTTAGGTTGGATATTAGAAAAAAGTTCTTCCCCCAGAGGGTGGTTGGGCACTGAACAGGCTCCCCAGGGCAGTGGGCACAGCACCAAGGCTGACAGAGTTCAGGAAATGCTTGGACAACACTCCTGGGCACATGGTGTGACTCTTGGGGATGGTCCTGTGCAGGGCTAAGGGTTGGACTCAATGATCCTCGTGGGTCCCTTCTGACTCAGCATATTCTGTGATTCTGTGAAATATCCCAGGTGCAGGAAATTTTTCTTTTGAATAAGCACAGAAGTACTGCAACCTTCTAAAGGATAAGTTTGAGTGGTGGTTGGCTGAATTGCAGTGAACCAAAATGAATCATTCCTCCTAAGTCTACTGAGGGTCTCAACCAAGCAGACATTTATAGAGCATGCTGTATGGCTGGTACTGTATTGGTGAGCAGGTTGAATCTCCTTGGAAAATTCATCCATGGCAGACAGCATACATACAATAGTTCACAGGCCAGCTGTTCAGGTTGTGAGGGAGCAGGATTATTCTTATGCCTTCGGATATTTAAATCCAGTTCTCTCCACTATGGAAAAAAGCTGAACTGCTAGAATGTGAGCTAGAGAAAGTAGAAAACCTTTCTCTTTTTTCTCTTCAGTACATCCCACTGTCTAATAAGGAAGTCAAGATTCAGAGAACTAGTGGAAGTGTGTAACAGAGAGAAAATTGCTTGGTAACTTGATGGTGGAAAATGAATATTGATGATTTTTGTTTTCTTAAGAAAGTCTGCCAGACACTATTACTATCTCCTTTTTTTATTGAGTTCCAGCAAAGCTTTCTGTCCAGCCAGGCTGGTCTTCTTTCCCATTGATTCTTCTTTTGGCACATGGGGACAGCCTGCTTCCTGTGCCTTTAGGATCTTCTTGAAGAATGTCCAGCCTTACTGAAAACCTTTGCCATTCAGGACTGCCTCCGAAGGGACTCTGTCAGCTAGTCTCCTAAACGGGCCAAAGTCTGCCTTCGGGAAGTCTGAGGTGGCAGTTCCGCCGACCCACTTCCTTGCTGCCCTGAGAACTGAAAACTATCATTTCACGATCACCTGTGCCCCAGATGGCCTCTGACCCTCACATCATCCTTCTCTGTTCACAAACAGCAGTGAGGCACCTTACCTCTTCGTTTATGTACCAACTGTGTCAGAAAATTATCTTCCACATAGTCCAGGAATGTCTTAGACTGTTTCTTCCCTGCTGTATTGTACTTGAGAGTGTGTATTTGTCTGTTCATCCCCTCCCTTCCTCAGTTTTCTTGCCTGTGAACTTGGTGCCTGTTAGCCCGTTGTGGTCTAATTTGTGGTTTAGAGGCTGCAAAAAAAAGACAGTCTCTAGAATTCTATTACAAGTAGGTGGCCAGATGAAGGGAAAATTTTATTGTCCTCAGATGAAAAAGTTTCAGCATGAACTAACCTATTCTTGGGCATGAAAGAAAGAGCACAGGAGGGAGGTGCCATGCATGTCTTAGCTGTGGATAATGTTTCAATCAGAATACTCATCTCACTGGATAGCAATGAGTTTGTATGAGACAGGATTTCATGAGAAACCAGACTTCATTAGCTTTGCATTTTAAGGCAGTGCTTGTTATCTGTCAGAGTAACTTTTCTCGAACCTGTTCATCTCTAAAAGAAGTTATAATTTTTTCATCTCTTAGTCAAAAAGCTGTTTAAACAAGTTATTTTCTGTGTAATTCTGTGTCTGTATGGAACTCAGTGTAGGAAGAGTCTTTTTTGCGCACAAAAAAAAAAGTATTCCTTCTCTTTGTTGTTATTTCCCAAACTGAAGGAAAAAGAAAGCAAACATCTGTCATTAATTGAATATAGTTTCTGATGTCTCTCAACTTGCAAAGGAAGTGTTTCTCAGTGACAAGTTTCTCCTTAGCCAAAAATTGTCTTTTGGAGCATTAGTTTGTTGAAGTCCTTTGTTTTTTCTGCTTTGTAAGTTTTTAAAACTGTCTCTGTCCATAATGTATTTCTGTTTTTTTATCTCTGGATTTTCACAATGGATATCATACTAAGTCTGCAATTGATAGATGATGCCTTGCTGGCAGATCTGCTTTTATTTGTTTGTATCTTATTTATGTGCCATTCAGTAATGGATCTGTGGTGAGGAGACAAAAATGCTTGTAAACGATATACATAAACTTTCTACTCTGTTAACAGAGTGAGAGATATTAGTTGGACAGGGGAAAGTATTCTGTGATAACAAGAAGTGGGAAAGACAGGTATATATATAAAAAATAACTTGTGTTATGCAGTTTATTTCTGTGAAAGTGTCACCTGTAAGGTAAAGG